TCAGTCTCCCTTTACGCTATGGATACTTCCATACGCTTCTGTCGCATACATCATGTGTATTACAGATGAGCAATATCTCATGAAATTGTGTGAGAGGCAAAGACTATGAGGATAAACATGTGACAAATTCAAGTTGCCTACTAAGATTGCTAGAAACACACACTCCTGTCGAGTAGCAAGTTTCTAGGGCTCCCTAGATTTGCAGTACTTAAACATATCGACACATGGATAAGCCTTTTCTGTGGGAGCAGATTTCAGCCGTTCTCCCAATGAATCCAATGAAACCTAGCTGAGAGCTCTCTACTAAGCATCATGCAGTCGAGTGGCGGCATAAATTACACATGAGACTTTCTTCTCATCCTTGCATAAGTGAAGACGTCAGCGTGCAATGGCTTTGCAGTTGCGGGGAAGGGGCTGGAATGAAGTAAATTCACCACTCGCATGCTGTTAATTTCGCCGGGGCAGTTGCCATACATGGTCCCATCCCAAGTGATCGTCGTGTGCTTTGTACATCTACACATGAGGAAAGAATCTACACTGGGAGCTTCGCATCAGGCCATCTGCACGCGCGGTGCTCGTCAATATGTCTGCATTTATCGCGGGGAAACACACCCTACCGTAGGCAAGATGCAAGCATTACTGCCATGGCATGGTCAAACTTACGGCCTGACTCTGTTCATGGTACTCAACGCCTCTCATGAAACCGGCAAGTCAATCTACCGGTGTCTACAGATCCCATCTCGGTGTCATATATTGAACTCAATCAGACGATTATAGTTTCCTTCCTCAGTGCAAGTCAGCAATCATCCAGGTCCCTACTTGGCAAAGACGATCTGTAGAGCTGCAACACAGTCCTTCACGGTACTTCTGCCTTGGGCTGCAGCGAGGCCCTAATTACTGACAACGCCACCCTCATCCCAGCCCAGATGAAGAACATCCTATCACATCGAAAAGCGCCCAGTCAGCGGCAGATGTACCTGTGAAGTACTCGATCGCTTGGTCGGTATTGCATGCCGTACTTGGGTGATAGCTCACTCGCGTTCCAGGGGCGAGAGAGCGCCAACACCGGACAGGCCCAACGATGAGCTCCAATCACCACCCTCCAGAATGTAACCTACGAGACACGGATCAACAAAGACAGGGATGACGAGAGGTCGAGCCAGCTGTTACTGTATTGCAGCTTCTCATCTGGTGACTACCCCGCATCCGGGTTACGAGGAAGAGCATATAAACCTTGTGTCACCCGGCCAGACAATAGAGAGTGATACCTTTCCAACTCGCCTGTTGTTCTCATCAATATCAGGATCAAGAAATCTCGTTCTCTCATTGTCTCTGCTGTAACTACTCTTCATTATCGAAAGAAACTACAAGAATAGCGACTATTCAAGATGTCGACCCCTGCTATCCAAGGTCTCTCGTCTATGGGCTCGTCTGTCGGTGCATACTCTAGACAGCAGCTGGCCACTTTGAGAAACAGATTCTTGACTACAGGTAGGTTATCCATCATAGCACCAAGGTTATGGTAAGAAGAAAGGTATCCTAATAGCCCGTTTAGAGAAGCGCAGGAGGAGGGCACAGGTCATCTCGACCTCGTTTAGCGTCCACAAGCCGGTCTGGATTGCTGCAGGGGGCGCCGCTTACACGACGATGGGCGCGGTCTATCTGACGCTACGCTACATGCGTCGCTTGAAATAAATCCACCTCCGCGAGCGAGTGAGCGAGCGTGTCTGGTTACCGCTATTGGTGCTTTGAAAGCCACGAAATAGAGGAAGGGACTTGTCCGAGACAGCGATCTACATCCTCATTATTACCGACCATTCATTTCACATCATTTCCTTTTTTCCTATTTTATTTGGATTACCCTCTAGGGTCAGGTACTTTGGACGGCACGGGATGGAATATGCAACAAGGAGGGAATGGAATCATGACATGACGGGAGTTTTACGCGTTTTGGGTTGCATTGGAATTGGAACCAATATTCATCAAGTATTTAACAAAGACACAATTACAAACACACCTAGGAATGACCATAAATACAAGAAACAATTACAATAACTTGATGCATCATTAGTGAGGGGCAGACATTTCTAATCCCTGTTGTGTTTCTTTTCATTAGTTTTATTACCTGTTGGCTAGGGTTGTCACTCGTGTGATCATCCCCTCTCTCTTTCTGTGGTGTGTCTCTGGCTGCCTGTCTGTCTGCCGTGTATTAATACCAGCTGCACAATAATGCAGCACACGCGACAGGGATAGTTAGGTAGTAGCCAGCACAGTAAAGTAAGTAAGTAATCTACATCAAACCCATTGGATCACACCACGCTGCGTCAGCGGCTGTCCTCATACCACAGTACTACCTCTGAAGTACATTCTGTCTGCGGTGGTGGTCTGATCACATTCATTCATCTAACCATCCCCTACTTTGTGAACTTGAGTCTCTTCATCGAAGAATTCATACTAACTATCGCTTATCCACAATACCTTCTAGTATATCCACAGACTACTCCCCCCACAAGAGCTTAAGCACCCACTACTCACCCTCCATGGGTACCTAGTACATAGTACCCGTAACCCGTCATGGCAAAAGTGGGCCACAACAAGTTACCCCAGATTCCCATCCCACCAATTTATTAAAGTTTCGCTTTCGTCGCCATCCTCCGACCCATCCGTAACTAGGGATGACATCCGTGAGGACAGAAACAACACCGTTCAGTCATGGAAGGAGGGGTTGGGTCACCCGATCATTGGATGGGAAAAGCAGCGGTGGCTTTGGTTCTGGCGATTGCAGTAGTACTAGACTTCGTCTTACCCCGCCCGACGTTGACCAGTCAGAAGTGGTGGGAATGGGCTGTGAAAGGTTAGTAGGTGTTGTTGCATGATCATCCCCCCGGATCCTTGGCACCCCCGCAACCCAACCGCCCATGGAATGCTGAAGTTGAGCTGAGCTGGACTGTTGCCTTGACTGGACTGGACTGGTCTGGTCTGGTTTGGGTGGCTATGTCGGTACTGCAGAGGTACTTCGTGGGTACTTCAGGTGGAGTTCGGCTAGGGGGGAGGGGCCGGTATCTACCTAATTTTATTGCAGTTGGTTGCCACTCTTTGGATTTTGGGTGGTGGTGAATGGGGGGTGTTGCGGGTTGGCTTCACAGGGTATATATTGCTTGATGTTGATCACTTGTGCTAAGGACTACCGTTGTGGGATGGGTTTCTGGGGTAGTGATTGCTCACCAATGATGAAGGTAGCCTGTATGAAGCCGAGAATAGACAGTAGTAGACATTTGAACCGATGGTTGCACCTGCGACCGATGAACACTGTTGTGTTTCACAAAGATCATGAATACGGACATATTGCAGTTGAAGATTTACAAGCGGCTATATAGCCAAAATGTTCCCAGCATTATAACAACAAGGCCTGCTGGCCCAATGGTAAGGCGCTTGACTACGGATCAAGAGATTGCAGGTTCGAATCCTGCGTAGGTCATTTCTTTTTCTTTTTGCTTTTTTGTATCCTCGGTCTTTCCGCTTCCGTCTCCACCTGTTGCTTGCTGCACACCAGCAGCCATAGCAGCGGTCGCACTTTTGCTTCGTCTAGATTATTGCATCGCTCTGCTGGTTACTCGCTTCTTCATTCCCTAATACTCATCTCCATTATGATCACAATGCCGATGAACGAGTAATGTGCTGTCCTCGAGAATGCTCGTCTAATCATAACCTCGCCCTAGTAATATAGCCCTGCCGGTCATGGAATTTGTACTTTACTCTGATACCTATTGTCATTGAACCTTCTTTCTACAGTCCCTGTGGATTGACTGATCACTGCGATGATAAACCCCTACGGGTATCTCGGTCGAGCTGCTTGACTGATACACTTGAGCCCTATGCTTACCTTCTATCTCACAAAGTGGGAACCACGACATCAGTCTACCATGTAGCTGCAGAGGGAATCCTGCCAGCTGATACGAGCAATCATCATCGGTATCTACATTGCAAGTATGAAACGGCCACTGATGGCCTTATGTAGAGACCAGAGGACCTAGTCGAATTGGTTCTCTTCAACCATCGCTGTCTTGAATCATCGGCAGAACTAGCTACAATTGGCGGAACAAGAAGGTATTGAACGTCTTGCATGTCAATTGAGTTCCTAAGGATCAGAAACATGGTGTTCCGTTCACTTCAGGAAGGTCTCAGTGGTAAGTAACAGACCCAGACAATCCAGAGTCTCATGCAAAGGCGTCATTATCGCAATGACCCCAATAAATTGCGACCAATCCAGCAGGTTAGGAGTTGTTGGTTACCAGAACAAGGTTCATGACTCTTCATTGCAATATATGTCCCATTAGTCGGCGAAGCTCGAGTTCACCCCTGAGAAGGCGAACGCCCTCCAATGGCCCTGGCTGTTATAAAGCTAGCAGCTTAGTATGTGATACTGCTTTACCTTCACATGCCATCTTTTTTTTCCCAAGCTAACTAAGAAAAGCTCCTGCATCGAAAAGCTGTCCCACCAAATAGCAGACGGGCGAGCCCTATCACACTGCATTTGACTACACGGCGAGACTGTGAGCAGAGTGCTATCGAGTAGCACAATATGCAGCCACAATCCAATTCATATGGCATCAGTAGTATCAATGTGTTAGTAATAAGGAGGCCTGGGATATTGACACCTTTTATACGAAAGTATAGGGGGAGTAGAAGAAAGAGCATAGAAGCTATCCCAGCTAGCTGGGACAGACTTAAACCTGCACATAAAACAGATGTACAACTCAAGCCCGAGCACTTTACCTCCACTCTCCACTAAAAGAGACAAGAAACAAGTCGGGGTAACCACCCTCCTCAACCCTGATGATCATCATCTAGGAAACAAGTCCGAGTCGAATCGGAGAATTATCCGCAAGACTATATCTTCACAACTACTATACATAATGTTGCAATCCCAAATCTCATCTCTCCGTTCCTCTACCACTACATCCTATCTCCACATTATACACGATCACCACCAATTTACCATGACCAAGCCAATAATCCTCCACCTCGGCGACCCCATCGCCTACAACCACGACCTCTACAACGGACCCCTCTCCACCCGCTTCACCATCATCCGGGACACCTCCCCGACGCGAGAAGCCTTTATCGAGGCCTTGAAAACCAACAAGTACATACCCCCCCTCCCTTCATACCCCCCAAGACATACACTAATTAGAAATCCAGATACGGCCCCATCACCGCCCTCCTCCGCCCGCACTTCTCCTCCGGCAAAACCATGTCCCCCTGGGATACCTCACTCATCTCTCTCCTCCCACGCAGCGTAAAGATCTTCGCCTCCGCCGGCGCGGGCTACAACGACGTCCACATCCCATCGCTCACAGCCCGCGGAATCTACTACACGAACGGGGCGGGCGCGTCCGACGAAGCCGTCGCCGACACAACGCTGTACATGATCCTGAGCGTATTCCGGAACTTTACTGCGCCGCAGATCGCGGCGCGGTCCGGGGATGAAGAGAAGTTCATGGACTGTCATAAGAACTTGGCGGACGTGTCGGTGAACCCCAGGGGGAAGGTGCTGGGACTTATTGGGTTGGGGAGGATAGGGAGTGAGGTGGTGAGGAAGGTGAGGGGGGCGTTGGGGATGGAGGTGGTTTATTATGATGCGGTGAGGGTGGACGAGGGTAGGGAGAGGGAGTTGGGGGTCAGATGGGGGGGTGGGGTGAGGGGGGTGTTGGAGGAGGCGGATTGTGTTTCGGTGCATTGTCCGTTGAACGAGGACACTAAGGGGTTGATTGATGGGGAGAAGATTGGGTGGATGAAGCATGGGGTGAGGATTGTTAATGTGGCGAGGGGGGGTGTGGTGGTTGAGGAGGATTTGGTGGAGGGGTTGAGGTCTGGGAAGGTGGCTGCTGCTGCGTTGGATGTTCATGAGTTTGAACCGGTTGTTGATGCTAGGTTGAGGAACATGGAGAATGTTACTCTTACGACGCATGTTGGGGGTGGGGCGGTGGAGACTAGGATTGGGTTTGAGAGGTTGGCGATGGAGAATATTTTGGAGGTGATTGGGGATGATGGGGAGGTCGTCGGGGAGCCGATTACGGCTGTTAATGGGGTGGAGGTTAGGGAGGTGTGGGAGAGGATGGGGAGTGAGTAGTATGGCATTTGTGGGAGTATGATATTATGGTATGAGGTGTGGCTGCTAGTTCAGATAGCTTCCTCCGGTTTCCTCGTGGATCAAATCGAACATGGGTTTCGCGCTGAAATACCCTGCCTTTGGTGTGCCGACGGACTTGTATGTGAATGCTGCGTCCGCTTCGTCTACCTTGACGGTCTGTCCGCCCCGGCCTGCGGCTGCGGCGTCGGCCATGAGCTGCACGTAGCAGCACTTCTCCAGACTGACGAACCAGAATACAGTTTCCTCGATGGACTGTCCTACTGTTAGAAGCCCGTGGTTCTGCAGGAGTGCGGCTTTCTTGGTGCCTAGGGCTTGAGCGATGCTCTTCCCTTCTTCTTCGGCTAGCACGATGCCGTTGAACTGATTGTACAGGACGATATCCTGCTTTGGTCAGTTGTAGGTTCTGTAGCTAGTGGGCACCACTGACATTGTAGAATGCACACGCATCCTGCGTGATGATATCCAGCGGCCGTCCGAGAGTACAAAAAGCTCGTCCATGAATGCTATGGCTGTGCGCAGCGCAGAGCACGTCCGGACGAGCAGCATGAATGGCCGAGTGAATCATAAAAGCAGCAGCATTGAGCAGCCGGACAGGCCCGCCGCCAATGATCTCCCCGGCATGGCTCACATGGATCAAGTCGGATGCCTTGATCTGCGAAAATGCTAGGCCAAAGGGGTTCACCCAGAAGGTGGTTGGGTCGACTGGATCACGGAGTGTGATATGCCCTGCCACGCCTGGAACAAATGTTAGTATCATTGTTGCCAATCCCATCGAGCCGAGGTTATCGGATCTAAGTAGTAGGGATGAGTGATGATGGCATACCTTCATCGTAGCCATTCTTGCCAAAAATGCGGAATGCGGCTGCCAGTCGGCCTTTGAGGTACTCGCGCTCTTTGTACTTGTCTTCGAAGACTGGAGGTTGGGGGAATTTCTGGGGAGTGTTCTTCACTTTGGCGGCTTCGGCAGCCGATTCTTGGGTGGAATGGGTTTGGGTGGGAACGGAAGAGAAAATGGTGGTTTCGGTGGCGGTGGGAGGGGCCATATTGGATGTCGTAATAGGTTTGAATTGAATCAACTTGATGGTGGGGGATAGCAATTAATGCAGGGATTTGATGATGAAAAGAGAAGAAGGGATGAGGGGAGAGAAGAGGAGAAGATATGCTTATCTGACCAGCGCGGGGTTGAACCAAAGCAAGTAATCAAGGTTACCCGACGGATCTCAACCGAGGTTGCACCGCATCGCTATGGATGCTCGACCAAGTTTGGTTCATGACTCTTCTGGAAGTGCCTGGGCTTGGAAACACCTGGAACTATCATCGAATGTGATCGGTCATACAGCCCGTGGAAGTATCTATTCACTACCCTGCTAGAGGATGTTCTACGGCTATATACATTCGGAATCGGGGGTGGGATAGAATGAGTCATGAGTCGTGCGAGAGGAGCAGAAAAATTGAGCAGACACATTGACCCAGACATCCCAAATCTACAATGGTAGCCGTGGTATCTCCATTCTTTGCGTTTCCTCCAATAGTGCTTCATATAGCTGCCGGTCCTCGGCACTCATCCCCTCCTGTGTCGAAGGCGACGCTCCCAAAATGGGCTTCACGTCTGCTTTGCATACTACACCAGAGGGCGGAAGCTCGCCTGTCTGAAAATACTGACGGATCTTCTTGTGAACACATACGGACGGCGCCGCCAACGTTGAGTGCTAGAAGAGTCAGATCGTTCATCACCTTTGACATCTGAGGTCACTTACGCCTTCGGAATCCTGCTGTAGAAGCACCGAGCCAGGAAAGTTCTCGGACATCTTGCGCGCACTGTAAACGATTAGCCTCGATGAAAAATTTCCCAGGAAACGTGGAAATCACCTCCGCAATGGAGTCACTGGGTCGAGCGTGTTGCTCACAAACAGCAGCGGATGGGAGGTATTGGCTGCGAATGGCCCTAATATACTCAGCAATGAACGGTCCAGATTACAAAGACACTACTACCTGTGAGCTTCCACTTCGGCTTTACCTTCCACCCTACGCAGCTCATCAAAAGACTGGCCCAGTAATCCCCAAGCATGGCACTATCTTTTTGCAACGACTCCCAGGAGCGCCGGAACTCTTCTTCGTCAGCATTCTGCAGATACTCCGCATCGGCACAGAGGATGGCCGTGCTTGAATATGCTTCATTGTGCCCCGAAACTTGGCACTCAGCAGACCATGGTCCAGCTTGGAGACATTGATCGGAAGTGCATGACGGGGAGCGGCCCTCGACTTTATAGTCGGCAAGGGTGGCGCCACTTTTTTGAGATAGTTCTTTCGCTATCTCTGCCAGTTGGGGAAATCCGTAAAGTGGCTGATACAGAGCAATTCGCAAGATGACCTTGAGATCACTCCACGTCACGACTTCCGGACCTCGTGTAGCTGATGCGGGAACTGGTAATGAGCGGTTGTAGAGAGCGTCTTCTAGTGCCAGGTATGTTTCCTTGATGGCGGCCGGTCCCCCTTGAGCATAAAAAGGGCAGACATCTGCCCCAGCCGCATTGCAGTATCGTGTAAATTGATCGAAGATGGCGTCAGCGTCCTCAACAGCATTGGGCCCCTCCCCGAAATAGTACTTGTCGGCATCTACCACAGCATCAAGCACAGCTCGATGAATACGATCGGGAAACATAGTTGCAAACGTGGAGCCTAGAATGGTTCCGTAAGACCGACCCCAGTAAAGGAGCTTCTCCTGTCCCCGCTGCCATCGCGTTCGCGCTACTATACTCTGTCCTGGATCATAGCCATGACTATGATCCTGTTGGCGCTGCTCCAGCAGGCCCTGTTCTGCACGCCATTCGCCGTGTCGTTCAACGATCTCGAGCATATCTCTAGCCACAGGGGGTGTGTTGAGGTGTTCGCCCAACGCCTCCTCTCCATCCTTCGGAGGAGTGGACAAGTTGGCAGAGCATCCAGTGTTGAGGGCAGTCGCGCGAGCCCAGCTATGCCAGAATGCATCCTGTGCGCTACCCAGTGCGCCTTCGGCTGCCACTTGGAGTTCCCAGTTTCGCTGCGCGAATAGATGAGGAAAGCAGCTGAACCCCGGAGTCGTGTTGTTGACCCCGCGCGGATCGAATCCAATGATGTCAAAATACTTGTCCCGCGAAGCGCTTTTTGAATCAACGATACTTGGGTCGTTCTCTGAGTCTACGGTCTTTTGCAGGGATTTGCCGCTGACAAGCACCTGGGCGACGCCTGAGCCACCTGGGCCACCTGGAACGCTATTAGTCAGGACGATAGCATAGACATTCCCAAGCATACCTGGGTTTGTCAAAACTGCGCCGCCGTACCGGGCATCTGTCACCGGAACCTTGGCTGGAAGACGAGTGATGGCGATCGCGAAGCGCCGTCCTTGACCATCAGATCGGTTGTAGTTCATGGGCACTTCGAGACGGGCGCATTGGAACCCATCGAAGCAGTCATGGTACACAAGTGATCGCGAAGGTGTTATCTTTACCGGTCAGACGCTTCTGGCAACAAATGCAAAGACTCTCACCTGTTCCCAGCTAAACTCCGAGTGGAGATAAATCTCAGTATGTGCTCCAATATAGAGACGCGATGTCCACCACGCAAGACCTGCCAGAGTTACTACAGCGATTCCTATGCCATGGAGAACCTTTCGCCAGGCTCCATATTTTGCAGGATGTACATGGGCCTGAAACGACCCGTATTCAGGGGCTTTCAAGGGATCCATGTATTCTCAGACTAGACAATGTACGACATCCACTTCACCGTGTACGCATCGAGGGGATAGTCAAGGGTGCCCCACGAGTTAAATGTAGATTAAGCCATGGTTGACCCAAGGTACCGGGCGGGCTGACAGGTCATTCAGCTGGAGCTGAATATGAAGGCCTGCAGTTTCTGCATAGACACGACGACGAATTAAGAGTAAGAGATTTGCAATGAACCCGAAGTGGGGGTTGGATAGCCACGGGGCTCAACACACCAGGATAAGCCGCGCATGCCGAGATTGAGAGGGAAGATCGCGGTCGGAAAAACCAAACAGAGGCCAGATGGCGGATCAGCGCTGGTGGCCTGTGATCCCTTGCATTTTCTTAGGTTGCGTTCGGCCTTCCTCTAATTGCCTAGTAGCAAACTCTTCGGAGACTAGCATGGATCAGCCCGGAGGTTATTGGCTGGTGCCCTTATCACACTCCCCGTACCCAATGCAAGGTCAGCATCCACGATAGATGTGGCTATAAGCATCTGGGAACAGTGGGTCTGTCATCTCAGCAAGAGATCAACCTTTAATAGAGCGATCAAATGTCTCCGGACAGTCGATAAATTGATGTTGGCCCTCTGCCTCTGACGCTAAACCACACTCCCGCCGGTATCCTGAAACTTGGCTTTGGCCGAGTTGCTTGATTGATACAGCAACTATGGGTGGTGTAATTTGTACTACCGTTCGCATATATGGGATAACGTTAATTAAGCTCTGGGGACAGGTTTGTCCTTGTTGAGAATTGGTTGTTTCATCCCCATCTGGGCTCTTCGACGGAGGAAATATACAGATGCCGTGGTGTTCGTTATGTGAAGAACGGACTGGCAGAGTCGAACAACTCGTCGACGCCATACGTGTATCAAGAGCCAATAGTGGGCAGAAAGGCCATATTTACCCTGTCCTCTCGTCCATCGGCGAGGGACTATGGTGGGTGCCATCTTCCGCTGCAAGCTCCCAGCCAAGGGAACCAGTGCAAGGGATGCCATATTCCAAGATATGTATCCACTGTAGCTCTTCCTGTTCACTCATTCGATCGCTGGCAACTGGCGGATCATGTGGCCTGGTCATGACAAATGCCAAAGTGGGTTTGGGATGTCTGCTTCCTTCGGAATGAACAGCGGAGAGTACACTGAAGCTTAATTTCAAGCTCGAACGTGAAGCTCACCAGCAGTGGAGCCAGTTTTCTTTCTAGCGTTTCCTCTTTTGAATCAGATACTCTCTGGTCCTAGCGATGGCGTTAATCATTCCAGAAGAGACAAGGTTATGCGATCATGTCCTGCTTGCCAAACAGGGCACAAACTCGAATAAGCTAGAGCCAAAGCTTCTAGGCTGATCTCCGCCTGATCTGCCCGGCGTATACTACGGTGTTGTCAATGGACGAAGCAGGAGACAAGTACGGAGTAAATAATGCAGCTGCAGCAACATCCCCATACTCCTTGGAGCCAAATGTTGAGACTTGAGACGCGTCCCGCATGCATCACGTGCGGGGAACAGTTTCCCCAACTCCAACTCAGTGACCGAAAAGGGAAAAGTTCCAGCCTCGGTTCTCCGCAGCCCTTCCTCACCTTCTCAACATTCAGGCCCCTCTCCATCTGCCTTGCCACCAAATGGAGTGACTTATTCAATTCACACTGACTCACAATTAAATACTCCGATAATCGCGAGCAAGTCAGTACTGGCCTGACAGCTGCCTCTTCGCCGATCGACCAAAATGGACGTGCGTGGCAGCCGGGCTTGTCCAGTTTAGGAGGATCATTGCCATCCCCCGCAGGATCCATTGTGACTAATGCAGCTTCTTATCAATAAGTGCCCACTGATGGTCACATTCCTCACCCACTGCCGTTGTCGGTGCTGAATCCGACTAAATGTTTGCCCGTTTTCGCGACCAGGTTTGGGGCATTTGGGCCTATAGTCGTCGATCTTCACCCGGATCGGCACACTCGGGGGCTCCTCTGCGCCCTTGCTGGCCAAGGCAGGCAAATCGCACCGCCGCCGGGGTCATGGATTGGGATTGGCATTCCTCCACCCCCCACCAAGCCCATAGTCACGTTAGCTGATGTCTTCGTCACGGCGATCTCTTCGGCTGTCCGCCAGGCCTGCCTCCCTCCATTTATCCATCCGCCCTCCCAGTATCGGCCACAGCCAGTCAAAGGTGTATCAATGCTCGTGCGTGGTCTGAGTGACGCCATTTTGATCGCAATCCCACACTTTCTGCTGACCGCCTGCATTTGCGAACGCCAGGGATGGAGATAAGTGAGTCCGGTCTGTCGCACTAATTGAGCTTGATCACTC